AAATGTATACTGAGAAAGACTATTGTATACCAAGACTAAAGATTCCTCCAAAGAGCTCCTAGAACTGATAAATGAATTCAGCAAAGTTTCAGGATACAAGATTAATGTACATAAATTAGTAGCTCTGCTATACACCAACAGCAACCAAACTGAGGACCAAATTGAGAACTCAACCCTCTTCACTGTACCTGCAAAATAAATAAATAAATAATAAATAAATAAATAAAATACTTAGAAATATACCTAATCAAGGAAAGACCTTTACAAGGAAAACTACAAAACACTGCTGAAAGTAATCATAGATGACACAAATAAGTGGAAACACATCTAGGCTCATGGATGGGTAAAATTACTATTGTAAAAATGACCATACTGGTAAAAGCAAGTTCAAATTCAATGCAATTCCCATTCAAATAACACCAACATTCTTCACAGAACTAGAAAAAAAAATTCTAAAATTCATATGGAACTAGAAAACACTCACACGCACAAACTAGAATACCTACAGGAGGTGGCAAATTTCCAGAAATATACAACCTCCAAGTTTAAATCAGAAAGAATTAGAAACCCTGAAGAGACCAGTAATAAGCAGCAAGATTGAAATGGTAATTTCATAGACAAAGCAAGACTACGTAAAAAATACAAATCCCAAGGCATCATATTCACTGACTTAGAACTATACTATAATGCCACGGTCACCAAAACAGCATGGTACTGGTATAAAAATAGGCACATAGACCAATGGAACAGAATAAAGAATCCAGAATAAACCCAAATACTTACACCAACTGGTCTTCAAAAAAGCAAACAAAAGCATAAACTGTGAAAAGGACATCCTGTTCAACAAATGGTGCTGGGATAATTGGCAAATCACATGTAGGAAAATGAAACTGTCCTCATCTCTTAGGTTATATAAAAATCAATTCAAGATGGATCAAGGACTTAAATCTAAGACCTGAAACTATAAAAATTCTAGAAGATAATATTGATAAAACCCTTCTATATTTTGGCTTAAGCAAAGAATTCATTTCATTTTCACCCAAAAGCAAATGCAACAAAAACAAGATAAATAGGTAGAACTTAATTAAACTAAAGAGCCTCTGCACAGCAAAAGGAAGAGTGAGCAGAGTAAACAGACATCTCAGAGTGGGAGACAGTCTTTACAATCTATACAGTCAACAGTGGACTAATATCCAGAATCTACAATGAACTCAAACAAATCAGTAAGAAAAAATAACAATCCCATCAAAAAGTGGGCTAAGGACAATTCTCAAAAGGAGATATACAAATGGCCAACAAACATGCAAAACTGTTCAACATCACTGATGATCAGGGAAATGCAAATGGAAACTGCAATGCAATACCACCTTACTCCTGCGGAAATTGCCCTAATCAAAAAATTTAAAAAAATAGATTTTGGTTTGGATGCCATGAAAAAGGAGCACTTCTACACTGCTGTAGGGAATGTAAAGTAGTATAAACATTATGAAAAGCAGTCTGAAGTTTCCTGAAAGAACTAATAGTAGAATTACAATTTGATCCAGCAATCCCATTACTACATATCTACCTAGAGGAAAAGTCATTATATGAAAAAGATACTTGCACATGCATGTTTATAGCAGCACAGTTAGCAATTGCAAAACTGTGGAACCAGCCCAAATGCCATCACAGAATGAGTCTATAACGAAATTGTGATATATATATATATATATATGCGTATATATATGTGTGTGTATATATATGTTATATATATATGTGTATATATAGTTATATATATATAATTTACTCTTGTAATTAAATACCACTTGTTCCCCAAAAACCTATAGAAATAAAAAAATTTTTAATTAAAAAAATTAAAAAAGAAAAGCTAATTTTCAAAAGAAATCAAATTAAACAATTTCTCAATTTAAAAAACTAAATGAAAACAGTTTACTATCACTCAGAGGTGGGTTTAGTATATATATATAAGGTATATGATGGAATGCTACTCAGCCATAAAAACAAATGAATTAATTGAATTTGCAGCAACCTGGACAGAACTGGAGACTCTTATTCTAAGTGAAGTAACTCAGGAATGGAAAACCAAATATTGTATGTTCTCACTCATAAGTGGGATCTAAACTATGAGGACGCAAAGACATCGGAATGATACAATGGACTTTGGGGATTCAGGGGAAAGGGTGGGAGGGGTGTGAGGAGTAAAAGACTACAAATCAAATTGGGTTCCATGTATACTGCTCGGGTGATGGGTGCACCAAAATCTCACAAATCACCACTAAAGAACTTACTCGTATAATTAAATACCGCTTGCTCCTCAAAAACCTATAGAAATAAAAAAATTTTAATTAAAAAAATAAAAAATAAAGCTCATTTTCAAAACAAATAGAATTAATCAACCAACATCTCAATTTAAAAAACTAAATGAAAACAGTTTACTATCACTCAGAGGTGGGTTTAGTTTTTCTGTTGTCATCTTTTGAGCATTGTAAATTATGAAAGAAATTCAGAACTATAGTGCTTCTCAAATCGGCCTCTATGTTCCTTCAACCTAAGAGTGCCCTCTTCTGGCTTCATGATTCACATTCAGCTTGTTCATTGATGTTGAAAATAAGTTTAACGTGAAGATGATGGAAAGAAAAAAACTGTTCTGAAACCTGGAATAATAAAGGCTTTAGCTCTCCTTTTTAATATAACAAAAATGAACAAAAGTCCAATTGCAAGTATAATGGTTGTTTCCAGCAGCTGAAAGGAGGGTAAAATGGAGAGTTGTTGTTTGAGAGGTATGGAAAAGTTCTGGAGATTGGTTGTACAACAATGAGAATATACTTTACATTATTGAACTGTACACTTAAAAATGCTAAGATGGAAAAGTTTATATTATGTGTGCTTTACCACAAAGCATACAAACAAACAGACAGATAAGCAAATACATCTAATTGTGGTATAAATAGTCCATGTTGATAGAAGCAGCTCTAAGTTGGGACTGTTTTCACCTCAAGTCAAATGTTTACCATAAATTAAACCTAGCTGGAGTTGATAAAATTTTTAATTCCTGTCATTTTTCTAACTAGGCACATATTTCTCTTAATTATGAAAACTATAGCTATAGAACAACTTAATTGCAACTGTTAATGTCTTTAGTCTTGAAGATTTAGAGACCCATGTAAAAATATTGTGAAAATGTTACTTTATTTGCTTTAATAAATAATAAAATATTCTTCAGTTTCTAAAAATAAAGACTCCAAGTTTTGATTTGTATATCTAAGTGAAAGGCATTCACTGAGATGAAAGAAAAAAAACTAGGAAAGAAGCAAATTTCATGGAAGAATAGACCAGTGGTTTTCAACTGGGGACAATTTTGTACCCAAGGGGACATCCGGTAATGTTTGGAAATCTTTTTGGTTATCACAACTCGGGGAGTGGGGAGTAGTACTGGCATATAGTTGGCAGAGGATTGGCTTAAGACATCGCTAAATGTTAAACTCTGGCCACCACTACAAAGATTGATTTGGCCTCAAATGTCAATGGCACCAAGGTTGAGAAACACTGGGTTAGAATCTTCTTCGCTGACGTTGACCACTCTTTCTCAGCCTTTGTAGCAGGCTTCTTTTCTTCTATCTGTCTCTAATTACTCAATATTCTGTTTTTAGCTCAATTATCTTTTCTCTTGATTTTCTCTTGGGGATATCATCCATTCCCTTGTCTTTAACTATCGCCTCTATGTTGTTGACTCGCACATCAATATGTCTAGTTCCAACTACTCTTCTAGCTCTAAAATATTGCCTTTCTCAATACCTCCCTCACATCTTTTCTTTAAGCTAGGGCTATCTGACTTTTCTGTCTTTCTGAGGAACATTTGGTACAAAACCGCAGGGTCATTTATTTCCCAAACATTTACTGAGTACTTAATTTGTGTAAAGGGCTGTGCTGGGTACTTGGAGGAAGGTAGCAAGGGTGGAGATAAGAGATAGTTATAGTAGTAAATGCTTTACATGTATTATCCCTGGTTATGGCAACAGTTTTGCAAGGAAAAAATTATGGCCTGGAAACCAAAATTCCAGAATTTAATTAATTACTTAAAGAGCGCAGAGCTTGTAAACAGCAGAGTTTAACAGCCACTTCTCTTACATTAAGGACTAAGCTCTCTCCATTAAAAACAAACAAACAAAAAACAAGAATCAAACAAACAAAAACCACTGAGGACAACCCTGAAAAAGTGTGATCTAGTTTGTCCATAGCTAAAGGGATATGAATGTGTAGGCTATTTTAATAATGAAGGTCTAAGAAGTTCCAGAAGCCTTTTCTTCTGAGACACATGGTACTTTCTTCTGGTTACCATAAATCATAGAATATAACATGTCATCAGTGGTAAGATGGGGGATTATTTTCCACACCTACGAGAAAGAAAATATAAGTCAACTAAAGCATAGTGTACCATCAATTGTCAGGTCGCAGAGATGTCCTAGATGTTCAAATGTGGGGAAAAAATACAGTTAGCCTTCAAAAATTAAAAATTTGTTTAAAAAATATAAAGAAAAACTGATCTTAGATTCTGTGACATACGGCGAATTCATTTTCCACATTCAATTTCCATGGTTAGTGCTGGTGTGCTGTTCTGCACTTTAGTCAACTTACATGTTTGCATAGCGCTTTTTAAATGGTCGTAGCTAGTTTCACAGATCTGTGATGTGCATCTGCAGCTGGTTTGTAAAGCTCTTCTTTGGTTACCGCCCACCCCCACGTCCCTCCCACTCATATAAGCCATTCAGAGTTTACCACTTAAAGATAAACTTGAATTTCTTCTCCTCTTAAAATTTCACAAATTATATTACATTCTCCATAAACTTATTTACATTTAGTGGGGGTGGGGCGCGATGCAAAAACAGTATATTAAATAACGACCTCGCTTTTTAACACCCATCCTAGTAGAAACGTTAAAATCGGATGGGGTAGGGAGGAGGGGTGGAGGCGGAGAAGGGATGTACGTCTCAGGATACAGGAAATACGGTAAGAGCGAAACAGGAGGAAGCCAGCTCAGTGCCTGGAGGGGACCCGCCGCCATCTCAGGTCTCTTGGCTTTGCCAGGGCCCACCGGAGAAAACTGAAGCCCCGTTTCTATAATCCTTATGGGAGACCAACCTTGTGCCTCCGGGAGATCCACTCTCCCACCTGGAAACACACGGGAAGCCAAGCCTCCAAAAAAGCGCTGCCTCCTAGCTCCGCGGTGGGATTATCCAGAAGGAACTCCCAACGGAGGTAGTACCACTCTCCCCTCCGCACCTCCTCCTCCATCAGCCGGCCTGAAGTCGCACCCTCCTCCTCCGGAGAAGTAGAGAAATAAATCTCTCCCATCCTAAACCAGGTCAGATTCTTTCTCATCTAGAACATCTAGGCTCTTTGAAACTTATTATGCATTCTCAAAGATCTCCTCCTTTTCCCTGTTCTTTCCACGATTTCAAAGTAGAAGAAATAACATGCAGGCATTAAGCAGCTCTTTCACAAAATACGCTTGAATGAAATGATGCATATTTAATGACATTAAATAGTTATTTTTAATATTTTAGATGAAATAATTGTAGTTATATTTTCCAAGACATAGACTTGAATCTTTTGATTTGTTTGAAAGTAATTCATTGGTGCCAAGGTGGAGGGAAGGTATAATAAAAATGTTCATGAGTTGATAATTTAAAGCTGGGTGATGTATTTGTGGAAATTTATTATCCTATTCTCTCCACTTTTGCGTGCATTTGAAAAATTTTTATTTAAAAAAATGCCTGGTTCAAGACCAGTAACAAGCATCTATGTCCAGCACTGTGTTAACAGAGGGAAGTGTAAGGTGAGCCTTCAGAAGTGTACGTCTTTCTCTGTAAGGAAGGAGAGTTAATTATATATATATATATATATATATATATTTTTTTTTTTTTTAAGCTACAGTGTGATAGTCAAATCCAAGTGCCGTAACGTTTGCTTGTTCAAGGTATTCAGGAAGCGTGGAGGATGGACCAAGTCACTGCCTGGTAGTAATCATGAGCCATCAACAACAACAAAAAAGGGGTGGGGGGCAGGCATGGTGGTGCAGGCCTATAATCCCAGCCCTTTGGGAGGCCGAGGCGAGCAGATCAGGTCAGGAGTTCGAGACTAGCCTGGCCAACATGGTGAAACCCCGTCTCTACTAAAGTTACAAAAATTAGCCGGGCATGATGGTGGACGCTTGTAATCCCAGCATCTCTGGAGGCTATGGCAGGACGGTCGCTTGAACCTGGAAAGCAGAGGTTGCAGTGAACCGAGATTGCGCCATTGCTCTTCAGCCTGGGCGACAATAGCAAAACCTACGTCTCAACAAAAAAAAAAAAGGAAGGAGGAACTTTGGGTGGGCCTTAAAGGGTGAGTGACATATGCCATGTGGAGGGGCAGGGAATGTTTTCCAGGCCGAGGCTTTCCAGAACAAAAGGCAGAGTTCTTCTGGAAACAGCTTGGTTGTAATTTTGAATTTTGAGCCTACAAGAAGGACCAGGAGGGGAAGATAAAGTGCTTCAGGGCCTTAAATGTTATGCTGAACATATACTTCATTCCAATATCCAGCAAGTGATACTATTTGTATTTTAAGATTCCAGTTCTTACTATCAGAAAAGCAATCTCTGATATTAATTTGGATGAACTTTATAGAATGAAAAAAAATAAAACTGATTCTGACACAAATTTTATAGATACTTTTTATCCAAAGGAAAGAAGCATCTTTTCTTCATTTGTGCAGTAAACCTTTATGAAGCCCTTGCAACGGGTAGAAATTATTATGAGAGCTGTAGGGGAGCTTATGGCCAAGGCAGTGCCTAGTACATAATAGGAGTGAAACAGATATTTTGAATAAATAAATCAATGAATGATGGGACAACATTGGTCGCCAAATAAGTTATAGACATTGGGTTTGGTGGTAATGCATAGAAAAAGAATGAGGTCTATTTTACTTGAAAGCATCTCTCTGTCATTCCGTACAGCTTTACTTCTATCTCACATGTTTACCTTTATTCGAAGGGGTAGTGGAGTGGAGGGGTTGCAGGGTATAGGGTGAATATTGTGGAGACAGAAAACAAAAGAGCAGCCGGGCGCAGTGGCTCATGCCTATAATCCTAGCACTTTGGGAGGCTGAGGCCGGTGGATCACCTGAGGTCAGGAGTTCGAGACCAGCCTGGCCAACATGGCGAAATCCTGTCTCTACTAAAACTACAAAAAAAAAAATTAGCCAGGAATGGTGGTGGGCACCTGTAATCTCAGCTACTCAAGAGGCTGAGGCAGGAGAATGGATTGAACCCGGGAAGTGGAGGTTGCAGTGAGCCAAGATCACACCACTGCACTCCAGCCTGGGAGACAGAGCAGACTCTGTAAAATAAAAAAGAAAAGAAAAGAAAAAGAAAAAGAAAACAAAAGGGCAAAACAATGAGTGCAAGAGCTACATAATTTCCCCCCAAGTGATTCAAGTCACTGAAAATTGTAATAATAGCCAATATTTACTAAAGATTTATGTGCCAATTTTCTTTTCTTTCTTTTTATGTTTTTTTTTCTGAGACAGAGACTTACTCTGTCACCCAGACTGGAGTGCAGTGATGCAATCTTGGCTCACTGCAGCCTCTGCCTCAAGGGTTCAAGTGATTCTCCTGCCACACCCTCCTGAGTAGCTGGGACTACAGGCACACGCCACCACACCCAGCTAATTTTTGTATTTTTAATAGAGATGGTGTTTCATCATGTTGGCCAGGATGGTCTTGATCACCTAACCTCGTGATCTGCCCGCCTCTGCCTCTCAAAGTGCTAGGATTACAGGCGTGAGCCACCACACCCAGTCTATGTGCCAGTTTTCTAAAGGGCTTTGCATGTTATACTTTATTTAATCACAACTCTACTAGAGAAGTTTGTATAGGCCAAGGGAAGTTGCATGAGTTGCCACAAGTTACACAGCACGAAGTGGCTGAGCTGAGCTTTGAACCCAGAACATTTGATTTGAATTCGTGCTCTAAACTGCTATGTAATACACCCCTTCTAATACTATGTATACAGCTGTTTTATAGGAATATATTATTGAAATTGAGGTAGGGAAAGGATAATGACTTGAGGAGACCAGGAGACAAAGAGATGGACAGAAACAGAAAAAAAATGATGTCGCAATTTTTTTTTTACTATTTTTCAGTCTTTGAGGGATTGCAGTATGACTCCATTTCCCCGGTGCATTCACGTAATAGTTCACTTGGTGAAAACAATGAAGATTATTTACAATGCTACCCTGCTTTTTCTGATGTCCTGCACCTGGAAGATGTGCTTCTTAAGGTAATCTCTTTACCAAAAACTGTTAAGAGGAGGAGGAGGAAAAAAGTTGGTTTTGACACATTAAAAAGTAGCCAAACAAAACACAAAAAGATAGCAGCAAATGATAAAATCGAAACTACTTTCTACATTATATGAAAACATACTCATAATAATGTAATCTGAAGAAATGTTTTTTTAGATTCACTTGTAATTACCTTATAGTTTATATTATTACTGTGAAATATATCATCTTTTTAACTACATTTTCTAATTATTTATGGTAAATGGGAACATGATTGACATTTTTGTATATTGATTTTATATTCTGTAGCCTTCTTGAATTCTGTTTATTCTAATAATTTATAGATTTTCTTGGATTATCTGTTAATTGTATTTTGAATAATGACAGTTTCTTTCCAATATTTCTTTAGCTTGTATTACTGTGCTAGCTAGGATTTTTAGTTCAAAGATGAACAAGAGCATTGGTGGAGGATTTCCTTATTTTGTTCCGAAATTCTACAAAAGTTTCACCTTTTTTAGTAGATTGTCTTTTTCAAGTTAGGGAAGTTTCTTTATATTCCTAATCTGATGAGAGTTTTTATTACAAATATTACAAAGTTTCTTCCCATCTATATGTACTGACATTTTCATATCCTTTTTCTACCATTAATATCATAGTGTGACCATGTCATAAATTACAATAATCAATTTTCTAATATATTTCTTGCTTTTGCTTTTATCAAGCCTCACCATTGGATATTTTTTCTATTTTAATAATTTTTACTTTTTATATTGAACATTCTTCTTTTGTTGTTTTCTTTTTAATTTATTGAGTTCTTCTCAATAAATGTTCTTCTGTAAGGTAAGAATTTAGAACTATACATTTCTTCTTCCACCTTAGAAATAGTTCACAGGTTTTATATATAGTATTTTTATCATTCAATATTATTTTTAAATTTCTGTCATGGTTTTTTACCCATGGTTTTTTTTAAATTTCTAACCATATGGGATTACTTTTTAAAAAATTGTATTATGAAATCATTAACCCCATTCTAGTTTATCTTTTTTTCTGCTTTACATTTTTTTAATCCTTCTTATAACAAGATACAAAATTACACATTGGCTGCTCTTCCCAACAGAATTTGTTAATATAAAACATTTTCTTTCATTACATACATAGAAAAAGCATGGTTCTGATGTTTATTGATGTTGTAACTGTTGAATTTTATACTTGTGTTTTTAAAATTTTTATTTTTATTTAATTTCACACTTGAAAAACTGGGAATATTATAAAGAACTCCCATAATACCCTTTACCCACATTCACCAATTAACATTTTATCACATTTGCCTTATCGTTCTGTTTTTCTCTCCCTCTCCTTCTCCCTCTCCTATTTGACAGTATTTGCAAATAGTAATTTGCCAAATGTCAAATCATTCTCCTTTACCTCTTAGTATGTTAGTGTTTATTTCTTCAGAATGATGATTTCCTCATACATTCTCAGTAAATGTGTCACAATCAAGAAATTTGATATTGCTCTGATATTATAATCTAATCCATATTCTGATGTTACCAGTTGTCCCAATAATGTGTTTTATCGTTATTTTCTTTTTTCCTCGTTCAAAGTGCTAATCCAAGATGATGCATTACATTTAGTGTCATGCCTCTCCAGTTTTTCTTTTTTTTTTTTTTTTTAATTTTTTATTGGATTATAGGTTTTGGGGTACATGAGCAGAGCATGCAAGACAGTTGCGTAGGTACACACATGGCAGTGTGCTTTGCTTTTCTTCTCCCCTTCACCCACATTTGGCATTTCTCCCCAGGCTATCCCTCCCCACCTCCCCCTCCCACTGGCCCTCCCCTTTTCCCCCCAATAGACCCCAGTGTTTAGTACTCCCCTTTCTGTGTCCATGTGTTCTCATTTTTCATCACCCACCTATGAGTGAGAATATGCGGTGTTTCATTTTCTGTTCTTGTGTCAGTTTGCTGAGGATGATGTTCTCCAGATTCATCCATGTCCCTACAAACAACACGAACTCATCATTTCTGATTGCTGCATAATATTCCATGGTGTATATGTGCCACATTTTTCCAATCCAGTCTATTATCAATGGGCATTTGGGTTGATTCCAGGTCTTTGCTATTGTAAACAGTGCTGCAATGAACATTCGTGTACATGTGTCCTTATAGTAGAACGATTTATAGTCTTTTGGATATATACCCAGTAATGGGATTGCTGGGTCAAATGGAATTTCTATTTCTAAGGCCTTGAGGAATCGCCACACTGTCTTCCACATGGTTGAACTAATTTACACTCCCACCAACAGTGTAAAAGTGTTCCTTTTCTCCACATCCTCTCCAGCATCTGTTGTCTCCAGATTTTTTAATGATCGCCATTCTAACTGGCGTGAGATGGTATCTCAATGTGGTTTTGATTTGCATCTCTCTGATGACCAGTGACGATGAGCATTTTTTCATATGATTGTTGGCCTCATATATGTCTTCTTTCGTAAAGTATCTGTTCATATCCTTTGCCCACTTTTGAATGGGCTGCCTCTCCAGTTTTTAATATAAAATAGTTCCTTGACCTTTCTTTGTCTTTTATGAGTGTAGAAAAACAAACTCAGTTTCTCTGATTATATTCTCACAACACAACCCCACTTCTGACTCTGATTGTGTGGAAAGAAACAGGTTTTCTTTGGCTCTTGCATGACAACAACCAACACAGAAAACTTGTGGCCAAATATATTTTGATTCTTCTCACCAACAAGCAAGTAAACAATTCTACAGTGGACACCAGCTGGGTGTGCTCCAATCCAATTCAATTCTGAAGCTATCTCCCTGCAGAAAGTATCAGATCCCACAGATTGAGAGCGTAGTCCCATGAGACTGCCCCAACTTTAGACATGAGTTTCAATTCTGGGCCTTTGGAAAATCTAACGGACCAGCTTCAAGTTAAGGTTCCCATAACCTCTCTTTTCAGGCTCACATAATTTGCTAGAACAGCACACAGAACTCAGGGAAACAGTTACTTGCATGTACCCATTTATTCATAAAGGATGTTTTAAAGGCTACAAATAAACAGCCAGGTGAAGAGAGTGAGGTCTGGAAGGATATTGAGCACTGGAGCTTCCATTCCTGTGGAGTTGGGGTATGCCGCCCTCCCGGCATATGGATGAGTTCTTGTTCATCCTTCTATAAGCCTCCAGAAATTCAGCTGTACTTAGTCCTCTTGTGCTTTTTTTGAAGACTTCATTCGATAGCCATTATTGAAGCATGGAAAACCATGTAGAAATGTGATCGGACTAAAAGGGTGTGATCTAATACCAACAGATTCAATGGAGAAACCCAGCAAGCCTTTCCCGTTCAGATTCTTCTTGGCTTCTCTGTGCAGCGTTCCTTCCTCCTGGGTATGGGGCAGGACTCCTTCTGAAATGGGAGTCTTATGACCCATAGTCAAACTAGGTAGGTCAGAGAATTACTTCATTGCCAGCTCCAAGACAGAAAGCCTGGTGAAGTTTAGAGTATATTTTTAGTTTCTATGGCTTGCCTTCAGGAGAAAGAAAAGAAGGTAAAAGGAGAAAGAAAGAGATTCTGATTTTGGACACCTAAAATTCTCCAACATTATACGTATGTATACACATATCCACACACAGATACATTATACACATACAAACACACACACATATATTGACTGTCTCTCACCTTTATTTCTCTGAAGCTGTTTCAAAGCTGCTTCAGGAACCAAAGACAAAAGACCAAATACTTAAACAAAAGATGTGCCTATTGTTTTAGTCACTTAGGAAATAACAAGAGCGTTGGGAGTTATGAGCCACCATGGACAAAAGCCGATATATATTTATATCACAATATCAAACATCAACAATTGACAGTTGTGTAAATACAGGACACTTATTTCATAGATTGTCCTTCAATTTAAATTTATGTGCCATATCCCCATTATTATATTTAGAGTATGCATATGAGCAAAAACACCAAAGGAGTAATGTGTTGTTCTCCGGACATCATATTGGTGGCACATGATGCTGGTTTGACCCCTTAGGAGTAAAGTTAACTTTGTGAATAGTTGCTAGATTAATCCACTTTACAATAACATTTTCCTTTTTATAATTAATGATTTTGCTGGGGATACTTTGAGACTATGTACCTATCCTGTTCCTCATTATACTATCATCCACTTGTTTTCAAATCCATTGATAATTCTTGACTGAATCAGATATTACCATGATGAATGCAAAATGCTAATTTTCAAACTCCATCATTTTTACTACATTTATTAGTTTATATTCTACATCAAGTTAGAGGTTTTTCTCCATTTATTTATTTATTAGTTTAGACACATAGATATTTACTTTATTTTTAAAATACCCTATTGTTATTTATTTTAATGCTCAAATTGTCTCAGATTTAGTGAGTGGCTGCCCATTAAAGTTGGCTCCCCTGTCTTTTGACATGTCTCATCATTGTTCAACACATATTTTTACTTACTTTAAAATTTCTTTACTTCCTTACTTTCAGGCTTGTCCCATACTTCCTGCCCCATTACTCATTTCTCTATAGACTTCTGTTATCTTTAAAGGAGACAGTATTTAGAAACTAAGTCATCATATATGGCTGTTTTTTAGCTTAACATTTTCTTATTGTTTTCCATTTAAGAGACAGTATTGTTTATATGATAACGATTATTTAGAGTTTGTTGAAACTTGCTTTATGTCCTAGTGTTTTATGTGTGCCTGGTAAGATTGTGTATCTAATTTTTGCATGTAGTGTTCTGTTCATTAAATTTAATTATGTTGTTTAAATCTTCTCTATTAATACTTTTTTTGTTTGCTGGACCTATCAGTTACCGAGAGAGTTAAAATCTGCCACTGTAATTATGGATTTGTCAAATTCTTACACTTTTGACAATTTTTGCTTTGTATACTTGAGGCATTGTTAGTATGTACATACAAGTCTAGACTAGATATATATTTTATAATCTTATGAACCCTTTTTGTCTT